AATAGATGGGTGGATGGATGGATGGATGTTGAGTGAGTGGGTGGATAAGTGGATGGGTGGATGGATGTTGAGTGGGTGGATGAATAGATGGGTGGGTGGATGAGTAGATGGGTGGATGGATGTTGAATATTTGGACCTGCAGTTTCTTGATGGATGTATTGCACCAGGCATTTCCAGACATCCACTGCTGCAGCCCCCGCTGAGTGGAGGGCATCAAGATACTTTAGACAAAGCCATGTCCTGACACTCCAATTCCAGCTGGACAGTGGTCAGAAGCAGACAACGCTGCCCTAAGAGTCATAATTACAGAGTGGCTGGGAGCTGGGCTCTTCACCTCTGTTCCCTCGGTTACTCTCCCCACATCCTCACACAGTGTGTACCCCCTGCAATTTTACAAATGAGGACATTTAGACCCAGTGAGGTGAAGTGACAACTCATAAGGTCTCACAGCTAGGGAAAGGTCAACATGGAGTGAAAATCATTCTAACCACCTGCAGAGCCCATGCCCTTGGCCACTGACCTTGCTGTCTCCCCCCCCCAAACCAGGACGGATGTTGGCATCGGGGTATTCAAGTGCTCTAAGTCCAGGGAGGAATTCTGACCTTGAGCTGCTTTATTCCTCTGGGTGCCACTGCCCTGTCCTGACCCCCAAACTTCTTCCAGTCCTCATGGGCCCAGTTGTAAGGGTCATGTACCCTCAGAGACATGTTCCTGATCACAGAGGAACTGAGTACTCTCGGCTCAGTTTGTCCCAGGACACACCTGGAGCGAGGGCTTTCATCTCCCTGTCACAGCTCTTGGTGCTGGGCCAAGTCAGCCCTGAGTCAGGATGTGCTGGGGTGGCCTGACTGACTGAGGGAATGGGAATCCCAGTGCACGTGCAAATGCCACAGCGGCTGCAGAGAAGCCCGACAGGGGAACATCTTCTGTCTCACAGGCAAGCAGCCCAAATTGTCATCCTCTCTGCGAGTCCCTGACTTTCTGAGCTGTAACCTTTGGACGTAAGTCCCTGGGTGTTAATGAACTTGGCTGCTAACCCAAAGGGTAGAGGTTCAAGTCCACCCAGAGACGCCTGGGATCTATTTCCAAGAACGCGCCCTGGCCAAGCTTCTGGGGCCCAGTTCTGCTCTGACAAACATGGGGTCACTATGAGTCAGAGTCGACTTACAGCCACTTTCAGGTTTACCTCTGGATGGCAAGTAGCTAGACCAGATTCATCTCGCTGGCTGGCCACTCCACCAGCTCCCAGGTGTCTGGGCTGGATGGCATCTCTTAGGAGTGAACATCTCAGTCCTCAGGGTCAGGTGCAGTGTGGCCCTTCCTGTCTGGACACAGTTGACCTGTAGCTGGCTGCAGAGGGAGAGGTTGAGTGGGAAGGTGAGCGTGGCCCCCTTGTCTCATGCTGTCAGCGGTGATGACACACTCACCACCTGCCCCCAGGGCTCTGTGTCCTCACATTTGGATGTCATTTCATTAGAGATGGCCCTGGGGTGGGGTGGGGGTGTCTCTGGAGAGTCACAGCTGATGGCTGCTGCCTACCCCAGTGAGTCTGGATCAGCTGCCAAAGGAACAGGGAGGCCGCATCTTCTGACCTTCTCTAACCCCACAAGAGGAAGACAGAATCACCATCAGCAGCCCAAGGCATATTCCTGTGAGGCCAGACATGCTGCCTCCCTTCAGCCCTTTCACCAACCCTGACACCAACCTTTCCTCCCACAGCATCCACCACCTCTCTGCTGGGTTTGGTAATTCACTGCAGTGGCGCACAGAACTCACAGATTATGAGGTTTCTTAAGGAAGCAATAGGCTACAATTGAAGTTCAGGAACACGCTCAGTCTCTCTCAGCCCGCTGTCTGCCAGCCAGAGGTCTGAGTCTCTCTCTCAGCCCGCTGTCTGCCAGCCGGAGGTCTGAGTCTCTCTCTCAGCAGTCTGTGTCTCTCGGTGTCTTATTTTTCAGCACACGTGTCTCTCAGGAGTGCATTTCTCTCAGCAGCATGTCTTTCTCAGCCAGCAGTCAGAGAGACACCTTCTGCCTCTGAAAGGGCTCGTTTTGAGCCTGGCAGAGTGGCCACTAACCAATCCTAGCATCAGAATTCTGTACACCTGAGAGAGAGCCAACTTCCCCGAGAATTACTTGGAGCTATGCGCAACAGAAATATCCCAGGTGGATCACTTTCATGATCAGGAGCTATTCATTTGCTCACGGCAAATTCCACCACAGAGTTTACAAAGACTTATGGCTAGAAAAGCCATCCCAGGTAATTTACTACACAGCACTGCCTAATCCAGAAGAGGTCATGTGACCCAGCCCTGTTTCCCACTGCTCTGCTCCTGAGGTGGCTGAACGCCCTGGCCTCAGCATCATGCCAACAGAGCTGGTGCTCCGTTCGCTGGCTGGCCTCCCCTTGCCTTCTCACCACCTCCATGTGCCCACGTGTGGAACAGGCTCACCCTCATGCAAACCCACGTGGATCCTGTGGCTGGCTCTCAGGGTCACAGCACTCAGGGGAAAGTAAAGCTAGGACAAGGCACAGCACAGCCACACTCCCCAAACTTCCGTAAGCACAAACCAAGCCACATGTCATTTATCAGGGCTGTGTATACAAATCAAGGAGCACAGATTAAGTGGCCAGTGCCTAAGGCATCTGACTGCTAACCAGAAGGTCAGTGGTTCAAACCTACCAGCCACTCCTCGGAAGGAGGACTGGGCAATCTACTTCCTTAAAGATATACTGCCTCTGAAACCCAAAGGGGGTGGCTGTGAGTTGGAATCTACTCAATGGCAGTGAGTTTGTTTTTGTTTTTTCCCCAAAATGTATACAAATTAAGCAAAGTGCAAAAGATAGATGGGAAACAAACAAACAAAAAAAACCACCAAACCCATTACGCTCCAGTCAACTCAGACTTGGTGAGCACATGGTGTTGGTGGAACTGTGTTTGCTGGGTTTTCAGGGGTGAGTCTTCAGGAGACCGTGAGGTTCTTCTGAGGTTCTCTAGGTGTATTCAAGCTGCCAGTCTGTGGGTCAGCGGCCACCCAGGGACCCTAGTACACTGGAAGATCATGGTAAATACCAGAACATGAGTGATGACACCCAGCTTTGAGACTTTTCCGTGCAAGCCTGTTTCATGTTGGCCCCCTAAATGTAAGGATCCTGTCCCAACGAATGCTTGAGGCCACCTACCTCCTTACAACGGGAGGAGAGGAGAACGCTGGTGGGGTCCCAGCCTTGTAGCCATGACATTGGGGCCTAAGTCAGTCCTCTTCCAAGAATCAGACGTGGTTCTGGTTCTGGAACCTCCCACCATAAGTTATTACCATCCCACTTACGGCCCCACAGCCTGGGTGCTCTCAGAAGCCACCAGAAGTACCGTCCTTGAATCCTGACCCATATTCCTCTTGTGTACATGTTTGTTCTAAAGATCCCCATCATAGAGAAAGAACTAAGGGTGACACCTCCCAATTGTCACTGATAAGGAAACAGAGGGATGATTTGTCTTGGTCACCTAGAACTGCCATAACAAAAGATGCCACACATGTGTGTGCTTTCAAGAACAGAAACGTATTGTGTTTTAGTTCAGGAGGCTGGACATTGGATTGAGGGTGTGGCTCGGGGAGGTCCTTCTCTGTCCATTTGGGGCAAACCTTCATACCATTCCCGAAGAGTTCAGTCACGGCTAGTGGAAATGAGGGCAGCAGACATATTGCATACTGGCCAAATCTCTTGCATGTCAGATTTTGACCTGGGTAGGAGAGGGCGTAGTGGATAAGGCACTAAACTGCTAACTGGAAGGTCAGTGGTTCAAAGCCAACAGCTGCTCCATGGAAGGAAGACTGGGCGATCTACTTCCATAAAGATTTACAGGTTCGGAAACCCAGTGGGCGTCACTATGAGTCGGAAACGACTCAATGGCAGTGGTTTTTTTTTTTTTCCTGAAGAAAGGGCAGTGATGTCCCACTCAGAGACAGCAACCAACTGCGCCACTTGGGATATGATTGGCCGCCATCTTTGAGACAATTAAATCAGCATTAAAAGTTCCTGTGTGTGTCATTCTCAGGGTCCGTTAACTTGTCACCTGCTGTCAGGTATGGGAATTGGTCTGGGAACATTGGCTTTCTGTGAAATCAGTAGTGGAAGGTCGGAATGAATCAATATGTGAATGTGGTTACTGCCTGGACAGAAGGCCGTGGTCTGGTCCCCCTCACCCAGCACGCTGACACTCAGGAATAACCTGGGGAAGTGTGCAGACACCCGGGGTTTTTAACCACAGATGCTGCCCCGGCCTGCTCCCCTCTCTGCCCATCCAGAACCACAAGCTCCGGGGGAAGCTGCTACTGGCTGTACGTTGGCTGCGAACACTTGGCTGTGGTGTGCAGGGTGAGGCTGTTCTGTTCCGGGACGTGACCTGCTCTCTCTCTGCTTTCCTCTCCAATCCAGGCCCACTTTCCCTCCTGGTGTCAGCAAGGACCCGCTGTCCGCCTTTGAGCAGCCGGGGCCCAAGCGGAAGCTGTACAGTGCGGTGCCCGGGCGGCTCTTCGTCGTCGTCAAGCCATACCAACCCCAGGTCGACGGCGAGATCCCCCTGCACCGCGGCGACAGGGTCAAAGGTCAGTGCCCACCCTTGTTCTCCTGCTTCTGGGGAAGGATCAGACCAGGGTCCCTTCAGTTTACCCCCTCAGTGAGCCTGATGGGGGCAGAGTCTGCAGCATTGTCTCGGCAGGGTCCCCTGTGGAGGGCAGGAATGGGGAGCAGAGTGAGGCTGGCCAGTCTCCCAGCTCATTCTCACAGAGACAGCTGCAGCACCCTGGCCGCTGATCTAGTGGGGCAGTCTAATGGGATCCCACTGTGGGAGTGTTGGAGCAGGTGCAGGGTGTGCTCCTGCCCCGAGAGCCTGGGCATGGCAGTGGGGCAATCCTAGGGCTGGTCTTTATGCAGACATGGCAGTGAGGCAGGCCTTAGGGCTGGTCCTCGTAGAGATGTCATGGTGAGGCAGGCCCTAGGGCTGGTCCTTATGAAGATATGGTGGTGGAGGGGGGACAGGCCCTAGGGCTTGTCCTCATGGAGATGTCGCAGTGGGACAGGTCTTAGGACTAGTCCTCATGGAGATGTCACAGTGGGGCAGACCCTAGAGCTGGTTCTTACGGAGATGTCATGGTGAGGCAGGCCCTAGGGCTGGTCCTTATGAAGATGTGGTGGTGGGACAGGCCCTAGGACTGTTTCTTACGGAGACGTGGTAGTGGTGGTGGTGGTGGGGCAGGTCTTAGGGCTTGTTACATTTGGATGTGTCTTGATAGGAGCAGTGTCCAGGTGGATGGCCCAGCAGGAGCCACTGCCTGGAGGCTTGCACAGTTCAGTGCGTAAATGTCCACTGGGGTCTGGGTTGGAGGGAGGATTCTCACAGCAGAATCCTGGGGAACGTGGTTGAAAAGCATTCTGAGCGCAGCCGTGAGCGCTAGGCCAAGGAGTTAGACTTTGCTCCATGGGTACTGGGGAGCCAGTGATGGCTCCTGTGCAGGGAAAGGTCTACTCTGTGGATGCTTCTGAGCGATGGATTCAGAGATGGCACATGTGGGATGGGGGAAGGGTGGCAGAGACAGGAGTTGAGGCCTATGGCACTGAAGGCCAGGGGTGGGGAGCTTACAAAAGAGGCATATGGGGGCCACAGGGGGCCACACAGGGGCAGCCTGAACTCACTGGGCAGAGCAAGAAAGAGCACGCCATGAGTGTCCGACTGTGTCCTGGGCTGCCCCTGGAGGAGAGGCCTTCAGAAGATGGAGCACAGGTTAGAAAGTGTGCCAGGTTCAAACCCTGCCCTCCCCACTGACTGACTGTTTGATGCTGAGCAGGCAGTTAGTTTAGTTCCTCTCTGGATCACACGCCACTCAGCCAGCTTCACCCAGGTTATTCTGAGTTTGCAGTGACAGGTTAGAGCCCCCTTCTCTTTCCCGACCCCTTTTGGTGTTCCAACCACACGTATATTTGATCCGTTGAGCATACCAACCAGGTCCCTGAGACCCCATCCGTTCTCTCTTCTTCTTAGGTTATTTCTACTGGCCTGTTTCACATTCACTTCCTCTTTCCTCCGAGATGTCCTGTTGACTGTTAAGCCCATCCCACGAAGTTTTTGTATGTCAGAAATTACATCTTTGAGTTCTAGAGCTCCGTGTGTTGTTCTTTTTCTTTTTGTCTGCTAAGACAGACATGCTATTACTCTGTTGAGGTTTTCATTCCTCGAGCTCGTGCTTTGTTCTACAACACAGGATTGGCTTGGTGGTGATGGTGGTTGTTTGCTGTCGAGTCGGATCCAACCCACAGTGACCCCTCCTTGGGTTTCCGAGGTGGTATCTCTATGGAAGCATACTGCCCAACCTTCCTTCCGAGGAGTGGCTGATGGGTTTGAGGCTTAATTACCACATTGAAGCCTTTCTCTGTAGTCCCAGCATCTGCTCCCACTTGGGGTCAGGCTCAGCTGAGTCTCTTTTCTCTTGAGAATGTCTTCCTTTTTCTTCATTCTTCATGTATCTGGTAATTTTGGATTGCGTGCTAGACGTGACACATGCTAAGTTGTAGAGGTTCTGGCTTTTGTTGTTTCCCTCCGATCAGTTTCCAGTTTCTCTCCGTTGTTTCTGTAGGTATTTTCCTGGCTGGGCTTGCAGCACAACCTCTGCTTCTTGGGTGGCAGCTACCGGCTCAGCTCAGGTCTTGTCCCCTAGCTGGGCTCTTCACGTTGTTCTGCACATGGACCGTTGAGGGGTTGGTGGGAGGTGCAGGGAGACTGTTTGCTCATCCCATCTCCCCTGCCCTCTCTGGCTCTTTCCTTTGCTGGATTCTCCCGCTTTTTCAGCATTCCTGGTTTCCTACCTGTTGCGGATTGAATTATGTCCCCCCAAAATACGTGTTGTGAATCCTGGAGGGGCAGTGGTTAAAGCGTTCGGCTGCTAACAGAAAGGTGAGTGGTTCAAACCCACCAGCTGCTCTGCTTCCATGAGGTAGAGCTTTGCAGACTCTGGGGCAGTTCTACCCTGTCCTGTGGAGGCAGTAAGAGCAGGAATGGACTTGGTGGCAGTGGGAAGGGGTCGTCTTTGTTGAGTTAATGAGACAGGATTGGAGTAGGAAGGGATCGTCTTTGTTAGGTTAATGAGACGGGATTGGTGTAGGCTGTGTCTGGACCCAATGTCTTTTGAAATACTAAGAGATGAAAGGAGGGAGCTAGTAAAGAGTGATGGGGGAAGAGACCAAGAGACCAGAAAGCCTTCCCCTAGATCCAGCACCCTGAGCTTGGACTTCAGGGCTCCTAAACTGTGAGGAAAACAAAACCTGTGGCTGACAGGCGTCCCCGTGTGGTGTTTCTGTACTAACAGCACCAGGGACCTGAGACACTACCTTTCCCTTTCTGACCCCTTGGCCAAGGGAGTGCAGCTGTTTCCTCTGTTCCCCTCCGCCACCAGCCCTGCAGTCTCAGTCCTTTCAGCTGCCCTGACCCATGGTGACCGCCCCCACATCGGAACGGCGCCCTGCCATGTGCTGCACCAGCCCCGTGGTCTGTGTGGATTAGACTGTTGGGACCCACAGGGTCTCACGGGCTGACTGGAGCAAGTAGACCCTCAGGCCTTTCTCCCTGGTCTGTCTCAGTCTGGAAGCTCTGCTGAAACCTGTTCAGGATCACAGCAGCTCACAGCCTCCACGGACTCACGGGAGGCAGCCGCACACAGGCCCACTGGGCGTGGAAGCCAGGTCTTCCACATGGAAGGCGAGACTTCAAGCCCTGAGGTCCCCCACCCTGCCTCTGCTCGGTGCAGGCCAACAGCCAGGGGCATGAGTTCTTCCTGGCCGCCCAGTCTCCTCCTCTCCAAGCAAGATGCTCGCCCCGCCCGGACCCGTCTGTGCCCATCCACTCGCCTCTGAGCACCTTCCCGTGGCCGCTTTCTGGATCGTGTTCAGGTTTTATCACTGTTTTCGGTGGGCGTGCTCTCGGTGGGTCGCCACCTGTCACAGCCATTCTGCCTGAAGTCCCTAAATGGCCCCTGTAGGTTTAAAGCCTGGGAGCTCTGGTGAGATAGTGCCTAAGGCACTTGACTGCTAACCCGAAGGCTGGCGGTTCAAACCCACCAGCCACTCCTCAGAAGGAAGGTTGGGCAATCTACTTCTGTCGTGATACCACCTCGGAAACCCAAGGAGGGGTCGCTGTGAGTCAGGGCTGAGTCGATGGCACATAACGACATGTTTCAAGCTGCATTTTTTAAATGTGCTCATTGTAAAAGAAAGAATTCAGGTCAGCTGTAGTCTCGAATGTGAGTAATGCCACCCTTCATTTCGTCACCCTTGTCTTCACATGTCCAGCCTCGGATTTGATCCCACGGAGCAGGACACCCTCTGACGCACCAGCCATGGCACAGCATGTCTGACAGTGGCCTGGGGGCTTTGTCCATCTACAGCGCTGCCCGGGGCCTGCACACAGCAGGGCACGCGCGACATGCGCTGAGTGCCCCTCTCTAGGCCAGGAGGCGTGCCTCTCCTACCTACTGCCTGACTCTGCACTGCAGTCTCCCACTGTGTGTCATTGACGTGGGCTCTGTGGGTCCCTGAGGCCTGAAGGGCTCTGGGGAGGGAGCCAGAGGAGCCCATTATTCGTCAGAGCTGCTGGTGCCCGTGTAACTGCACTGGGCTTCTCAGAGCCCATGGACAGAGCTAGGGAGGCCAGACCAGGGCATAGGGCTAGAGCAGTCAAGGCTTCAAGGTCCCTCCTGAGCCCGTCACCCCCGCCACGAGTCTGTCTTCTCTGGCCTTTGCCCAGTCCACCTGTCTCTCAGGCTGAAAGCGGGCACAGCCACGGCCTGGGCAGGAGAGCCATGTCTGGAGTAGACTCTGTCTGAGAACGCTGAGGGGCGGGGCAGGTCCACAGGACTCGTGTTGAGGTGCCACTGCGTGACGGGTGTCGGTTAGCCAGGTGCCGTCAAGTCAGCTCTGCCTCGTGGCTCCCCGTGTCGGACTAGAACTGTGCTCTGTCAGCTCTTCAGTGGCTGGTTCTCCAGTGGCTCTCCAGGACCCCCAGTTCCTCAAGCTGCCCAGTCTCTGAAGTGAGCTGGGCCTCCATTCCTGGGCCTCCACTCCCCTTGCATGCATCTCACCATGCACCCAAACCCAGTGTAGTCTCGTTAGACCAGCAGGTTTCAGGCAGGATGGAGAGGAGCCTGGGAAGTCGTCTCTGTGACTCGATGACTTCAAGCTTGGTCTCCTTGTCCTTCTCCACGCACTGGAGATGATCGCAAAGTCATCGGTGAAGGCAGAGGCCAGCATGAGTGAGCACCTGCTGTCAGCCATGACACCCAATAGCTGTCTGTAAAGCACACAGGGACTGTGGGCAGAGGCGTCAGTCTCAGCTTCTACAGATGTGTGTCTCACATGGAGAAATCTCTCCACTATCTCACAGCCCATGACCATGTACATGCAATACCTGTTCCCACCTGGACACAGGTGTGCTCACCAGGAAGATAATTAAACCTGCCCTTGAACGTGTGAGTAAGCAGAAGCCCTGTGTGTGAGCCCTGATGTGTGCCCTCTGGCCCAGCACCCACTGTGCAGGTGACTCAAGGTCAGAAGGGTCCTT